CCGCTTATGAGTTTATTGTACAGCGTTGGCATGTGAAAATATACAAGAAAAAACTAATATTGAAGTGTAAGCTGCTAAACAACAAACATTTCTAGCTTTCAGGTTTTATCTGTAACTGCTTGTTTGGATTAACAGTGTCAGGAGTCGCATGATTTGTTCTTTTCAACTCTACTAAAGCCAGAAACATCATCAACATCAATGTGAGCAAATTGACCTACGAACCTTGACGGCTCAGCCTACAGCATAAAACAAAGGGGACTAGACAACACTTTAAAACAGTGTGAGGGGTCACGACCCATCCCTGAACAGAGAGCCAACATTTGATCATCACCAAAACTCCTCAGTGACTCTGTATTAAAGTTATGTTTTCTCAAACTGATCTTTAGCACACACTTCTTCTCAATGACTATGGCGGAGACACTACAACATTTTTTTTTAAGTTACTAAGAATTCACACCACCTTTTTCTTCCCACCGTCTTAGAATAGACTTTTTTCTTGTTTTTCTTTGACCTCAGACCGAACTCAAGTCTGAACTGCAGTGAATCATCCTTCCACTCTGTTTCCAAAGCAATTTATTTGAACCAGACTTCGCTAGAATAACAATTATTAACATAGACTTGACCTCTACATTTATTTCAGTTATTAACTCTCGAGTGACAAAATGTAAAAAACAAACAAAAACAACAAAAAAGAAGACAATAACACAACACCGTTCTTGCAGCAGAAAAAAGTTTGTGACCCACAGGAGTGAGATAACACGTGATGATTTTGTTGGTAAAAGTCCTGACGGCAGATACCAGGATTTTTTTTTTTAATAGCAGCAGCATGATATGTTTTCTACCGTAATAATTTTAACCAAGGTATTAAAAGGATCGAGATTTAAGGGACAGTGACTCTGCCAGGAGGACGTGAACGCTGGTCTCCCTGATGGAATATTTGTAAAGCCATAAAAAAAGTTGTTTCCAAGTTTTAAAAGCAGCAACAGACTAAAAATCAATAAATAATTTTGGATCTTTGTCGTGGGAACAGTGGGCGTAAATCACAATTATACAGTAGAATTTCTTTTATTATTATATGAGATATTGTTTTGGTATTTTAAAGGATAACCATATCAACTGTTGGTGGACCTGATCATTCAGATATCTGCTGAAGAAAAACACTCCATGTAACAGTACGTGATTTACAGACCACCTTTCAGCGGCGTTTACAATTAAAAATAACACAAATACTAAGTATTCTGATCTGAGCTCAGTCACAATACCATCGATTCAAATTCATTATTAGAGTTTTCTGGGAATATAATTTCCCATTCTGACCCGAACAAAAGCGATGAGAAATAATTACAAGCCAACTCTGCAGCATTAAACGCTGAAATTCAATTATGATTTTTTTTTTTTTTTGCTCTATTTCCTGGAAGTGAAACAATGTCTGTAACTGGTACATCAGCACAAATAATTACTCCACTCCGCAGGGGTTAACACATTAGTGTGAAGCTGGTGAGCTGCCTCTAAATTTGAGTCTTTATTTCATGGTATTAACCTGTGGACCTCTGTAAGCTGTGGGTAATGTGCACCCTCTGGCATGTAATGTGGAGTGGTGTGTGTGTGTGTGTGTGTGAAGGAGCGAACGAGAGGGAGAGAGATGGCTAGGGATTTCTCATGTTGTGAGAACCTAAATCAGTCACATTATACGGACTTGTCTTCCATAATGTGTCCCCATTACATAAATCATTAAAGTTTCGGGTGAAGACGTGTTCGTGTACTGCAGCATTTAGATAAACGTTAGAGTGAAAATGTCCTCGGAAATTACATGGAATTTCAGAGGAAGGAACAGGAATGTGCGTGTGCTTGTGTGTGCGTGTGTGTGTGTGTGTGGGAAGCTCATCAGTGGCTTAGCTGCAGCAGAGACATTTAATTTGAAATCCAATCTAATAATATTTCTTTGACTGTCTCTGAAACTTAACACAGTGTGTGTACGTGGACAACAAAAATGGTGTTCAGACACAGTTTTTAAACATTTTGACTCAACTCCAAACAAACACTGTGCTAATGTACTGTATGTCTGCAGTACATCATAATAAATAGGCTGGTATACTACCATACTGCAGTGCATATAATTATGCAAATATATACACATCCATACAGTACATATATTTCAAAAATAAAGGCTATAAGTGAAAATCCTTGCGACATGAATAGGATTCCTGCCGTTGTCCATTAATGACTAACAGCACACGCCTCATAAAAACACCATCAACAGATTAACAGACTAAAACTGTCCGTCCATTAATATCCTTATGACAGATTAGCTGCCTAATTGACTAAGGCAGAGAAGTGATGTGGAATTCAAAGTCCGGAAGATCGCAGGTATTTTAGAGGACGTTGCCTGCACTATTTTAACCGCTGCTGGCTTTTAGCGGCGCTTTTATTCAACGGTGACTCCGTGTTATTTACGGAAAGACCCGTGCTCCCGGAGCTCCAGCGGTCTGGCCTCGGGGCAGCTCATCCTTTTAAGAATGCACTCCTGGAAGTCACAGAGGGACTCTGCTGATCTCAGCCCTCATCTGCAGCACTTCATCCACCATGACACACACTCTGTCAGCCAGTAACCAACTGTGTGTAACCATGTTTCCCGCCACAAGAATATACCAGGCACTTCATGCTTGAGATTTGCCTCCTGTGGAGAAGACTGTTGCTTGCAGCAAACACGGTGAGGAAGCCTTTTCACTGCAAAGAACCTCACCGACCGTGTCCCTGCAGGCTCAGGCCCCCCTTGTTTCTTTATGCAGAAATATCTCAGCAGCGTCGTCGTCACCGTGCGCTCCATTGACAACTTTATCAAAGTCAACACTTCCCCTTTTTTCTCTCTGGTGCAGGTGAGAATAGATTTCTCCTTTCATGAGAGTGTTGTCCACACATGCTCTTTGGTGAACCCTGCTGTTGTTCTTTTGAAATACATACTTCCAACACTAAGACTTTCTATGATTAAACTCTTTTTTGTTTTGTTTTTTGCTGCCAAAACCTACATCTCACCTCCAGAGCGTCCATGTGCCTTATAAGACCGACATCACAGCCAAAGTGTCATCTGTCGATTTACTCCATCGATCCATTTCTCACAAAAGCACAGGTTCCTGTTAAAGCTCTTACTACTGCCCCACTAGACTCCTATGGCTCTGAGCTGGCAGAGCTCCCAGCATCCTCTCTGCTCTCAACCATGCAAATCACCCAGAATGTTGTAAATGTATGAATTTAAAGCATGTCATCAGGCAAGACAGCGAAGGTAGAAAAGCCATAAAGACATGAAAGCAACATCAACACAGAGGAACGGAGCAAAGGCTGTCAAAGAATAATTAACATATTAACGTCAGCTAAAAGGGAGCATTTAGGACAAAATGGAAAACATGATGAGAACGTAACTGTTGTATTTGCAACTGCATTTGTTTAAAGGTGGAGTGTGGGAGTATAGTGACAAAGAAATAAATGGAAAATAAAAGAATCACATATCGTCACATGATGAGTTCTACGTATGTCCCATATGTAAAAGTGAGGCGTCCTGAAAGTGGATATAAACTGCCTATTGAAATTGCCAGTTCAACAATGTATTTCCATCTGTAAATAAAGATGATGTAAACCCCTGTTTCTTTACTGGAGGGGGCGCTGCAAACATAGTCTACACTGCTTCAGATTTGACTATTACATTTGGCTTTTGAGAGTATATACAGTAGTGGTCCCTTGATTCTTTAAGACGTGGCAAACGGGTCTGAGCAGTGCAAAATACTGCCTCCTGGAGGCTGACACTGCCTCTTCCCCTAAAAAACACAAATCTTCAAAAATGTCCAATCAGTTAAACCACACCTCAGTGATCATCAGTATTCTGGCTAACCATGCTAACAACTGCTGGCTATCTTGACATCATGTTAGAAAACGTTCATAAAACATTAGTGCATGTGTAAATATAGACACTGGTCAATTGCGTATGGTGTCAAGCGATGGTTTCCTGTTTTCCTGTCACACTTCAGTGACCCGCAGCCGACCAGCTGACATCCCTCTCATGGTGATCCGTCGTGTCACGGCTCAGCTCCGACAGCACGTGACACGATACTAACAGAAACATAATAGAACGATGAATAATAGACCAACAAAACAGGCTGCTCTCACGCGCTGTTAGCTTCACAAACAAACACCTACGTGCTAACGCTATTAGTGCGACCCGTAGGTCCCGCATGAAGTCATACATAAAACATTTAAAGTTTGTGAGGGTGAGTTAGATCTAAGAGGCGGTCCAAGAATCACTAAATTATTAACTTTCCCCTCACACTCGCACACAGATAAACATACACACACACACACATGCTGTGAGCTGACATTTCAATGAAGCAATAAAGCCTTGTTCCTCCAGCTGGCATCTGCAAACTCAGTAGGGAGGATTCATGTCTCATATCAGTTGTTACGACTGATCATATGCGCTGCACACACTAACAGACGCGCATGTGTGTGTGTGTGTGCGCGCAGCGCATTTGCGGCAACCACACAGGTGCACACACAAGCAGAAACAGTAGTTAATCCACACGCTGCCACACAGATAGCCCACTTACACTGGGTATCAGCCAGTGTTTTCATCCAGACTGTTGAAATTCTCCTGCTGTTTTTCAGAAACGTATTTGAAGAGGAATGGAGTATTTTTAGAAAACAAGTCAATGTGCTGAATGTTTGAATGTTTGTGCTCATTCCCCCGCCCTGCTGGACGAATTTGATTTTACGCCAACTGTACATATTAGGACAGCTCACAGGATCAGGTCTCATGTGAAAAAAACAAAACAAAACTACAGAGCACACGTGAGACAAAGACTTCAGGATGTTAGAGGAAACCTGTGAGAAATTCACTTGGTTTTGATAATCTGTCCCTTATTTTATAAAACATGTCAAAAGTGATGATCACGACAGCAGCACTTGGCTACAACATTAGCACGCTCTTATTAAATAGTTTCACTGTCACTCACATGCAGCGTCCACAGCCCCTCTCGTGGCGTTTCCTGCGTCCTCCTGAAACCAGCCAACAGCTCCAACCTCCTCATGAACGTTCTAAAAGAGAAACACAGACATCGCAGGACGCTTTAACACCAGGAGACATGCAGCTCTTGAGACAAGGTCATCATTCATCATCCATTCTAAGGCTCGCCTCGACGCCCACATGTAGATTCCAAGTCTTGATGTTTTGCAGTACGTGCTGAAGTCTCCATCAGCCCTGGAGATCAGAGCTGCAGATAAAAGCTGCTCCAGTCAAAGGTCCTTAATGTCCAGTTGCATGAGTAAACTTTTTTTTTCTTTAACACTTTTATCAAAGTTACAGCTGTTAAGAACAATTTGTGAGAAAAACAAGTGTGGCAAAAACAAAAGCACAGAGTGCTGCAGGGACTAACCAACAAGACAGATGTTGTACCTTGAGGACAACATTGTCAATTTAAAGTTCAGCACAAACAGCGGCCTCCTGTGATAGGCTTTCAGGTGCACTGCAACACATTTGAGGAAAAAGCTCAAGCTGCAGCATAAAGTACTGTATGTACAGTATGTTTCTCTATCGATATGACACAGAAACTGAATGTATAACATTTTTCAAACATTCCTACCTTCTCAGAAATGTTTTTACAGAGTAGGAAAAATAAAATATATTGTATTTTACGGGGGGGCATTTGCAAGGGCTACACAAAATATCTTAATGGTTTTTTTAAAGAATATGATAAAATAAAGCAGTGGTTCTCAAACTGTGGTACGCGTACCACTGGATGGTCTCTAGTGGTACGCAGGGAAAATTCATATTTTCACATTTACATTTTTAATCAAATAAATCTGAAACACACCATGCACAATTAATACAACATTTAAACATAAACATCTGTGCTGCGGTGGAAGCTAACAGTGAAGGCCTCTGCTGCTGTATTCTACTGTTGGTCATCATGGTGGTACTCAGAGAGATCAATGTTCTCTCAGGAGGTACAGAGTAGAGAAAGTTTGAGAACCACTTGAATAAAAAGTGTTTTTTAAAGGTATTCAAAATAAATGGAAATTGGACTCATGAGCAATTGGTAAAAGTAGTTGAAAAATGGATAAAACTTTATGAAAGATTTATGAAAATCGTCTTAATGAACTTGCTGAAGGAGTGCAATCTTTTTATTTTCCTAAGGTGACTAAGCAGAAAGGAAGAAGAAGAAAAAATCAATCTCAATAAATCATGATTAAATGTGATTAACCCACAGTTTCCTTGTGATTGATCAGTTTTAAAAACACATTCTTAATATTTTTAAGAAAAATCTACAGAAAGATCAAACCAAAAGTTGCTTAAAACAAGCAGATCTGGCAGCTGGGGGGAGGGAAGGAGGGAGCACACACGTGTATGTGGCGAAACCTTCTGCTGTGACACTCACGTGCACTGGCCCGTGTGTGTGTATCACATGCAGACAGGTGGTTTTCACGTGCACAGGTCTTGACTAATTAAACACAGCGACTGACAATCCTTCAGCTGAGATTAATACAAAAGAAGGCCTCAGCAAGACAGCAAGTTTAATTAATGTCTTTAATTGAAAACTAATTACCATTCATTGCAGCAGTGACTCCCCCCCACACACCCTCCTCCTGCTGCTTCTACATTAGAATAGAGAAAATTAGATGCAGAGTTGGACTGGTTTGAAATAAACCAAGTGTTTTTAATGAATGACAGCAAAGATATTTGTTGGACTGTCGTTCAGTGATTAACTGCTGGAACTCCCCTTCAACAGATAAACCCAATATACAATAACTGACATATCTCTGTTATTAACCGTGATGGTTTAATGAATTGCTCATTTTACGCCTAATAACGAATTCTACTCTTATATGGAATATGACAGAAAGACGACATTGTATCAGGAGAATTTCAGGATTGTACAGTATGTTTCCCCACTGCTGATGACCTACAGTATATGGCTGAAAATGGAAAAAAAAACACTGAACAAACACTGAACAAATTTGAATAAACAAAGAATTCTCAGCCCATTTTGTAAAAAACCACAGGAATCAGAGCTTTTTATATTTCGTCACAACAATCGCAAAAAAAAAAAAAAAAAACTAATGAAGCTACTTAAAGATTAAAAATCGGAAACATTTCTATATTAGAGAGACAAACCATTCATTTCGTGGGAGACAAATAACCCAATTATTGCTCATTAATGATTAAATAATGATTTAGAAGCGCGATTTCTGAGAAATGGCTTGGAGGTTTCTGACATTTCATTATTGTGACTAATGATATAATCTTGTTATCACTGTAGCGTAAAGTGATTCCACTGTTGGTAATATTTCAGTGCACCTGATTGCTGCGAAGTAGACAACGGAAATAATTGAGACGAACAAAGGAATTGGATAGGTAAAAAATATATTTATATATATTTTCATATAGTTTTAAACTTATATTAAAAAAAATGCATTACGACGTGCCGCCGACCTGTTGGTCAGGTCACCTTTGTGATTTGTATCTTAATAAGAAAAGGAAATTAAATGGAAAAATAGATATGCAAATAAAATATTGATATTAAAATAAATTTAAAAAAAGCTCTGTCACCTACTGCAGGGTTTACAAACATCCAGTGGTGATGTCACACGTCATGTTTGGATTTCCGTCACCTCGCCGTGCACTGCCCTCAGGTATCATTCAAACATTTAAATTATTTAAAACACGGTAAACAAATAGTCAACTGCAGCGAGAAGCCACAGCAAAACAACATGGTCCATTGTGTAGTAATGAAAAATAAAACTCTTTTAGAATAGTGGAGAAAACATCAGTTTATTTTTAAATTGTACTCTACGTTTGTCAGTGGAAATTATAAGTGGATAAATGTGGACGATGAGGAGGACGTTGACGATGATTCACAATCACTCATTACCGCACAAGCAGTTAAAAATTCACTAATTAAATGAAAAAAAAAACACATTGTGTGATTTTTTTTATTTATTATTATTTGTTTTCTAACTCGGTACATAGTCACAAACTAATATTCATTTGCAATTAAATGGGCTTCCGGATGCTTCTGTACTGCAATAAATTAGCGAAAAGGCAATTGGCAGAGACGTCCAAATGTTAATGACGTTCTAGAAGGATCATAATAGAATTGTATATGGGCTCAAAACATGTAAATAAGGCTCTTGCTGGTGCTGTTGGTGGGTGAAGGCTCAGGGAGACATTTGATTTGCAAAATGTGGGTGTTTGCTGATTTCGCACAGTGACAGGAAACCTCAGGCTGCAGCAGCAACAACAGCAGCAGCAACTGCTCTGTGAAGCCCTGCATCTTTCAGCCGGGGACAGGACTAATGAGACGCGATCAATATAGTTGAGGAGTGGGCATACGCAGCATTATGAAACAGGTACCGGGGACGTGGTTGAAAGCAGAGTTGAAGAGGGACAAAGAGGGGCTTCATTGTTGTAGCAGGGACACTTTGGTCAAAGTTTGTTTGTAAAAATATAACTAATTAAGACTGTACATTAGTCAAATTAATGTTGCTGTTACAGGGAAAATCCATGAATTGTTACTGTATTCATCTTTTCTATAACGTCATACATAGCGTACTGTCCCTTTAAGAGCCGTTTGTCTGTGTTTTATCAATGATTACACGATCGCTAATGAGCCAAATACTCAGTATATAAATATTCAGTCTAAAAGCTCTGCTCACTTCCTGTTCCTTTAGCAGTATAACTAAGCCGAACGTGTCATTTTATTAATCATTATTTTTAACAAACCTATTAAATTAGTGAAACTTTTAACAATATTTTTTCCTTCTTTTTTTAACAAACCTATTAAATTAGTGAAGCTTTTAACAATATTTTTTTCCTTCTTCTTCTTCAAAAATACCTGGAAAGCAACACAACACCAATCGTTTGTTCAGGAAAAAAAGCAGGTTGCGATCTGGTACCAGAGACTTTAAAGGAAAATAAAAATATAAATGCCCACTTTATTCAATCTAACAGTGAAACAATATTAGTTACGCTGATGACTTTCTTCTTTGGACTGCAGAAAGTAATTACGACCTTAGTTTCAACCAACAAATGCCAGGTTAATGCGTGAATCCAACCTCTTATTTTGGAGAGTAATGTGCCACGAAGTTGTCTGAGTTGAAACAAAGTTCACTAATTGAAACAAATGAGGAAGTGGCATTCTTCCATGCAGTACTAATTTCTGTCTGAACGCAGCCTAATGAATACATTAATATTTCATTAGACCAAATATTTTGAAGCCTAAGAGATGCAGTGTTAACGTCCTATAACAACAAACGTACTCCTGATTCTGTTGAACTGCAACAGCAGCAGCTTTAGAGGAAAAGGAATAAAAAAAAATATTGAACCAAATGCACCAGTGTGAAACCTGCAACATAGTACTGTATATATAGATATTGGAAACAGATGCTCAATCAAACTGTATAAATGGTAACAATTAATCTAAGACAAACATCCCTGGTCTGGAGTACCAGAAAATATCACCTCACAGTATTTTCCTCATCTTATTATTTTATTAAAGTGATTCCATCCATAAGAGCCAATCAGCTTCTGAGTGATGTCACAGGAGAATGCGGACTTTACAGCAGTCAGCAGGAGTGAATCCACACGTGTTTAATTGCCCACGTTTCAACAGTGGGTTCTTTAACACCTTTCACTGTTTTGAGTCACAGTCTGTCAACTTAACGATAATTTAAAGCTGCGACACCGCTGACATGCTGCAGCACAGGTACAGGTTGTTAAATTCACAAGGATTTATAATTTCTTTAAAAACACACTAGTGGGTAAATGTATCTCATGACAGATGACGTGGTAAAAGGGTGGCTTTTTTTGATTGACAGTTTTTCTGTCTTCAGGAACTCTCCCCACATGCTCGGCTCTATAATCCAAAAACCTGCAGGATTAGGTTATTTAGCTGCTGGATGTCTTCATCGACTTATGTCGAGGTTCGGTTCTTACATTACTGTACAAACGACGGGCTCCAAACAGATGTGTTTATTTGCAGTGAGCGTGCTGGATTACTGAAACATTTAATGTTTTAATGTTGTTTGGTGCATGTGTT